AAAAGAGAATAACGAGGGATAGTCCTTTAATCTTTTCTCTCCACCTTTCTTTATTTTCTTCCCAGGCAATTCTTTTCTTCCATTATTTTCTTCTCCGTTCTTTTCTTCCCCCAACTCTTTCTCCTCTCCTTCCCTTCCCTCTCTCTCCTCCCTTCCCCTCCTTTTCTCCCTCTCTTTCTCTCTCCCTTTTTCAATGCCTTTCTCTCTTGCTGTCTTCTTACCCCACCTTGTTCGGAAAGGCCTGCAGAGCAGAGGCTGCTCTCAGAGTCATGTCATGAGTAACCCACTTGTGTTATTTGCGGTTTACCTACCTGTAGAAAATTCGTACCCTAAGATCTCCACATACTGTGGGCAACCGGTTTATAATTCAACTCCACAAATATTTACTGTGCTCTGGTTAACTGAGTGTCCTTTGTGCTGGAGGTGCCAGAGAGATGCAAATGGCAGTGGCAGTCTTCTGAGGAGCCAGTCTGGGGCCCCTGGCTGATGCTGGCAGAAGACACATCCCTCTCTCCCCTCAAGGATGCTAAAGAGCTCTCTGTCTACTAGTACCCTTGGCCCACTTTTTTCTCCAACAAGGTGCAGAAAAGGGCATCATTGCCAGGTTTGCAAGATCTTAACAAGACAGTATATTGTAGGTGTAATCTACAGGAATGGGGAGGAGCTCAGCTTGTGTGGATTGGAAGGGCCGCATAAACATCTGTCAGTCCATTGCCAATGGCACCCACAAGCCCGAATTCTGACTTTGCACTGATTTCTTCCCCGGCTACAAATTCTACAAGATCATCGACATAAATAAGACTTTCTCCTCAACCTGTTTTTCAGGGCCATGCCAGGCTTTAAAATGGACAGGCCCCAGTTTCATTTGCATGTTGTTGAATTTGGAGAGTCAGTCGATCGAGCCAGGTCTCACAGTCAGCACAGTGCCAAACTGCAGAATCTTTCAGGGTGAAATGGAATTTAGAAAGATGAAGGAGAAAGGATTGAAGAGTGATCTGTTCCTCTTTCAAAGTTCAAAGCATAAAATCTCCTCAGACTTATCAGTGAATACTGTCCTTTATTTGGCTAATATTTATTATATAGCATAAGATGTAACAAAATTTTCTTAGGCTAGGAATGGAAATAAAGTGATGATTCTAACTGTAGTTGGGCAGTTTAGAGTGTGATGAAGGAGAAAAGAGAAATTTTCCATCACCCCCCAATGTGCACAGAACCACGGAATCACAGACCATTACCACTGCCCATTGTCATCGATTTTAGAGGTGATCTAATTTACCTTCCTAGTCCAAGTAGGCATCACCTCTCTGCCTCTGACTTATTTGTACCTACTATGTGCCAGTCATTGTGCTGGGCATTAGAGAGAGACAGAGATGAAGACAACTTGGATCTCCAGGAAGGAGTTCAGCCTAGTGGGTACCGTGGCCCAAAAGAGGTTTGGACCTAAGGTAGCTTATGTGTCACAGCCTTAATCCTCACTGTGTGTTTGGGCAGGCTGCTGATTGTGTAAATGCAAGAACGGATGCTGGGCATGGTTCACCATCCTTCCTCACCATGTGGGCCAACTCCATGACCTCCATGACCCACAGGGAATTAGACTTCTGACCTCTCCCTTGACCCTGTGACTTCCTAAACTGCCTTGTGCATGTCCAGGCTTTGGGACAGGTAACAGTGAAGTCTCTGCCCAATGAGGTGAGCGGTCACTTGGGTGACCTGGGAGTAAATCCCTTCCCCTCTCTGGATCTGTTAAATGAGAGACTGACATTTTAGGCAAAGGCTTTGTGCAAATGTCCACCTAAGCCATGCTCCCTGCAAGGAATCCCGTCTTAATGATGGTGGAGAGGCGGGGAGGGTATAGTGCAACTCCCATTCCTGATCTCCTATCACCAGATTAGAAGAATCACTGGAGAACGACTCTGTCTGAAGCTTGTTCAGCCCGGCTTCCTTGAGCAAGCAACTCATTCACAGGTGAGTCCAAATTAATACAGTACACAGCAGCTACATAAATATTGTGCTGTAATTGATTGTCTTCTGTAATCAAAGGCAAGGCTGCTGAGTTCGTTACTTTCCATGTAACTGCTGGAGGAGAACTCTAGGGAAAGGGAGTTGAGGTTGCCCAGGTGATTTTTGTTGCTCGGGTCTAGCTGCAAGTTGTGTCTCCGTCTATCGAGGGGAGGATAAGGCCCATTACATTCAGATTCAATAAGAATTTATCAAACGCCTATTTTGTGAGAGGCATTGAAAGACACGGTATCTTATTTCATTATTTAGTATTAGTAATGACTTGATAAGGCACACATGTTAGTCTTTACAATCACATTTTTTTTTCCTAGCGTAAAAGTGCTCCCTACCCTATTGCCTGTGTCCACTTTATTGATTGCAAAACAGCTTAAATGCATGGATTGGAAATTTGAAGTCACTTTACATACAAGAAAACAACACTATCTTTCCATGTACCTGCCAGTGCTAAGGCTGGCTTCGCTTTTCCAGTGGTTTCTTGGACTTGAGTGAGGTGGCTTCGCTTTTCTCAACCCCTCCCAGCTAAGACTGCTGTGCATTTTCAGTAATTCCGAGGATGCTCTACCCTTTAGGAAAGCAGAGTTTTGCAATCCACAAATCCCTTTTACCTTGAGGGATGGTGGTGATGGTGGGTGTCAAAGACTCTGTCTGCATAAGTCCCCGGAAAAGCTCAGCTGTCGCTGGACCCGAGGGTTCTGCAGTTTCCCTAACCTTGACTTTAAGTCAGCCCTCTTTAACCCCGACTCCCAAGCTGGGCTGTCTTCGAAAGAAAAACGAAACCACCCAGTTCTGAGCGTCGGAAAACGGGCACTCGCTCCCTGGGGGCTTGGGGCAACTTCCCCGCTACATCGCCCAGGGATTTTAAATAATCGTGAGCCACCAGAAACCCCCTAACCCTTAACTCTCCCCTCCAAGACCCAGCCCGCTCCCTGCCACTTTCCTCTCCAAACGCTAGTTGGGGTGGGTGGCAGCACCGAGGCGATTTTCTTCGTCTTTTTTTCCTCCGGGTTTTGTCATGGAAACGCTGACACAACCTCCAGAAGGCGGCCGAGCCTGGCCCGGGACCGAGGGCTTTTGGGACCCTGCGGGAGCGCAGCGCGCACTCCGCACTCCCCGGGCAACAGCTGGACGCGACCATATCCCGGGTAGGGGCGGGGGGAGCGCGATGCTCCGCCCCGGCGCTAGGGCCCCTCCCTCCTCCCGGCTCTCCGCAGGCGCCCTCCCCTTGCTGGGGGCCGCGAGTTGCTTTTGGTAAAACCCAGCCCCGGAATATATAGATCATAGGAGCGCAATGAAGTAGCCTTTGGAGAGGAGGGAGGGGGCCTGTCCGACAGCCACAGCGGCCAGCGCAGCGGCAGCGGCGGCGGCGGCGGCACCACCATCTCCGCTCGCACCCCAGCCGCCCGGCCCGCGACGAGGCAGCGGCGGCCGCCGGCGGGAGCGGAGGAGGCGGCGGAGCGGCGAGAAGGAGGAGCAGGAGCGCGCAGCCGGCGGCTCCACGCATCTCAGCACTTCCAGACCAACTCCGGCACCTTCCACACCCCTACCCGGGCTGGGGGCTCCGAGAGCCGCCGCAAAGCGAGCCCGATCCTCCCTCCGAGCCTTGCTCAGCTCTGCCCCGCGCCTCCCGGGCTCCGGTCCGCGCGGCGGGGTCCCTACTCCTGCGCCCCGGGCGCGCCTCCCGGACTCCCCGGTCCCTGAAGCCAGGACAAAGCCATGAAGCCAGCGCTGCTGGAAGTGATGAGGATGAACAGAATCTGCCGTATGGTGCTGGCCACTTGCTTGGGATCCTTTATCCTGGTCATCTTCTATTTCCAAAGTATGTTGCACCCAGGTAGGGGGCGCGTTAGCGTGGTTTTGTTGGATATTTTCTTCTCTCTCGCGCTCTCGCTCGCTCGCTCCGCCTGGTTTCTGCCTCTTCCTACCTTTCCTCTCCGCCTTCGGCCTCTTCGGGGCTCTTGGCTGCCCGGGTGTACCCGGGTCGCCCTATCGGGATGGGGAGGAGGGAAGGTGTGCTTCCCCCATTCTTGCTCCCGGCTCCGGGCTGGAGGATGGGACTAGGAGGGGCAGTAGTTTATTTTTTTATTTTTTTCCCTCTTCTTCTTCTTCTTTTTCTTTGTGTCCCTTGTCTGTCTGTCTGCGATGTAGCAGGGAAAGGGAGAGGTGTGGGAAGCAGCCAGGGGTGAGGGGCTGGTTTGAGGAGAACGAAACTCTCCGGTGCTGCCGGGGTCTGAGAATGAGAGTTTACCCGGAGCCGGCTGCTCTGCGCTCGGCGAGCCGCCTCTTCCTGGTCGCGGGGCCGGGGGCGAAGGGTACACGCCCTGGCAAGGGTGCGAGTCCATGCAGCAGGCTGGGGAGCCCGGGACTGGGGTCCCACGTGTCCCGGGCCCTGCGCAGAGCTGAGCAGGTGTGGAGAGAGGTCGGGTGCCCGGCACTGCCCCTCCATCACGCGCTGGCCGTTTGCCCCCGGGGTCTGGCTCCGCAGTGACCTTGCAGCTGGTGCCCCGGGGCCTACTCCAGCCCCTCACCCGTGAGCTGGGAACTGAGATCCTGGGTCACGCCTTGACCACTGCAGTTTTGGAGGAAACTTTGACCAGGTCCTGGGCTGACCGTCCGTGTGCATCCCCCTACTTCTGGGATCCGAGCAACGAGAATCCCCCGGGCTGCGTGGGAATGAACTCCCTTCCTCCGGTCCCCTGTGGCTCAGGCAAAGTTCCACGTCCGAAATCTGGACTGGGGGAGGGACGAGGCTCGCAGCTTCCGAGGGGCGCGAGAAAAAGTTTGGGACCTGGGGAGGGAGGGGCGCCCTCGAGCGCGGCCGCCGGGGGTGAGCAGCTCGGCTGCGAAACCCAACAGGTAGAACCTTCTGAGAAGCCTTCCGGGGTAACTAGGTCTCTCCGCCAAGCCTAGGCTCCCCTGCTCCGGTTTCCCCTCCCTTAACAGCCCCCTGCCGGGCCACGTTGGCTCAGAAATCCTTTTTCTACGCCTCCGAGTTGCCTTTCTCAGTGTAGTCACAGCAATAATTTGCTTTTCTAATTGCAAGGAGGAGGAAGGTGGAAACACATTTCCTTCCTGGGAAGTGGGGTTGGTGTTTTTCGTTTATGCCTCTCGCCTTCCCCTTTCACTGTGTAACACTAAGCAGACGCAGTCCCGAATTCATCAAACCTGCGTCTGGGTCGGTGGCAGAGGAATAAAGCCGTTCTTTCCATCAAACGGGCAGGGCTGCAGGCTGCAGATTCCTTGACAGCGCAGGGACAGACGGCCCCCTTGCCCCACTCGGCCTGGAGCAGTTGTTAAGGCAGCCACACTGCCAAGGGTATCGTCCGACTCCACCACATGTAACCTCAGGACGTCCGAGCCAGCCCCGTTAAAGATGGCTTTTGTTTGCAGCCGGGTATTTTTAGTTTAATGTCAGCAAACTACAGCGGTGTTTGTCTCCTCACCCAAACCTGCGGTTGTGAAACTTCTAAGGGAATTTAAAAATGGACCTGGCTTGCATTGCAGCAGGCGGGCTTTGGTTGCAGTGGGCAGGACGAGACAGACAGGGGTATCTCAGAGTGCCAAGCTCCTGGGGCCACCAGAGACCAGGCCAGGCTCATTCCAGAGTGCCAGGGGATGGGTGGTGTGCAGATACACTGGGGTTCAGACAATTTAAACAAGGGGCCGGGTGATTTGGTCTAAACTGTAGAGATTTGTTCAAGTCTCTTAAAGTTTTGTTGGAATCGTGAATGCCAGTAATACTCTGTACAAATGTGCAGAACACGGATGAGTGTCAGCCTTACAGCAGGAATGTGCTTGAGCTTCTGCGTACCTGTTAATTGCCCAGGGAAATAGAATTGTCATGGAATCTTTGTGAGAATTGGGAAATAACTTTCTAGTCAAAGATACTAGGAAGAAATTTCCAACTTGTAATTGGCACTTTATGAAAATTTCCAGCTCTTGTTAGAGTCTTAAATTGACTTGAAAGTGACATCATATCTTTTCAGTCCAGCCTTTTGGAAGAGGCAGAGAACCTTTTCTAAGCTTGTGCTGATAAAGATCCTCTGTCGATGATCCTGTCCCATCTTTTATGTCCCCTTCTGGTCCTGTTTTCTCCCTTTGGTTATTATTTGGATCTCTATAAATATACTTTTCTGATATTTCCCCCGAGTCCATAGCAAATACTACTTTCAAAATATTCTGTTGAATGTAGAATTGCAGATAGTTCAATTGAAAGACCTTCCTTATTTCAGTTTACTTATAGTTCCACAAAAACTCAGTGTCAACAGTTTATTATTACATGGGGCATAAAAATATACTTTGAAATCCACTTTAAACATTTTCTTTTTTGGGGGTTCATTTTATTAAGCTATACTGTTGATGACCACTGACATGGAATCTTTTTCATGCTGGTTTGAATTTCTTTAAAAGTTAAAGATCCTTGCTTCTCTGAAGTATCTTGGGGTAATGAAGGCTGATCCTTTAGCCTGGCTTTGCAGTTTTTGTCTCTCTAGATCACACTGGAAGAGGCAGAAGGGACCACAACGTGGCACAGATTGTGCAGCTAAAAATTTGGAGGCCTTTGGCAGGGGTTCCAGATACCTACATGAGAAATAGAAAAACAGTATTGCAAAAGTGATGGGCTCCAGGCTTCGTTGGTGACTGGAAGGTGTGAGAAGAGGAGGAGAGAAAGGAAGGTGGGGCACGGTGGCTCATACCTGGAATCCCAGCATCTTGGAAGGCCAAGGTGGGCAGATCACTTGAGCTCAGGAGTTTGAGACCAGCCTCACCAACATGACGAAACCACGTCTGTACTAAAAATACAAAAATTAGCTGGGTGTGGTGACACACGCCTGTAATCCCAGGTACTCCAGAGCCTGAGGCATGAGAATAGTGGATGAACCTGGGAGGCAGAGGTTACAGTGAGCTAAGATGGCACCACTGTACTCCAGCCTGGGCGACAAAGTGAAACTGTGTCTAAAAAATAAATAAATAAATAAAAAACTGAAACAAAAAGGAGACAGCTGGCAAGGCCGGCTGCCCCTCTCTCCGATTCTAATCTGGGGCCCATTTTCTTTTCTAATTCATATAATTGATTAATTTGTACATTTGAGTGATTGGTCATCAGTTGCACAAGGGTTTAGCAGAAGTGGGCCTTGTCAGTAGGATAGTTACCTTTACAGGTTTTTGATACTCTGAGTTAATAGTCTTCCTTAAGAATATTTTACAGGGCAAGGACCAGGTTTTAGACTACATTTTAGTGCCAGTGTTTTTTGCACAGGGTCTGACAACGGTGGATTCTCAATAAAATATTTGCTGGGTGAATACATGAAGTGGTTAAACTCCAGAAGTAGACCCACTTATCTGGTTTTCAGGAAGGTCACTTCAAGCTTTACCAAGAATGTCTGGTCAATAACTCTGGCTTTGTCCGGTGGGGACACTTCCTGCCTTCCTGAACTCTGGCATGGACCTGGTTTAAACTCATCAGGCGCCAGACAGGAGCTTTCACTGTGGCCTAAATATGCATCCCATGAGGTGTAGGCAGTTGAGGCATTGCTCTGTGTCCTGGATTCTGGAGAAGGTTGGCCTTGTTTAGCCACTAAGGAAATCCATCCATAGAACAGATAATCTTCTATGGCTGTGAACTACTCCAAAAGTCAGGGAGAATGGAACCACAAACGTGCGGTTTCTATACGGGTGTGAGTTCACCAATGAATGCTTCCTATGAAAGTTCATCTGCTTACATTAAAATGTCTTGCATACCTGCCCCAGACGGCTGGGCTTTGATGGAGCCATATCATGCAAAGCAAAGCTGAGAGGCCTGTGGGCTGCATTTGTGCAGAGTACGTAAAGGCAGCTCCTCTGAACCTTCCTTTTGTGTTACTCCATAGGATTGCGGTTTTTGTTTGAAAGCTACCGTTCATAGAAAGAAGCCATCAGAGGAGAAAGCCTTTTCTGTCCCGTTCACTTCCTCTGTATTATTTTTATTTTTGTGAAACCTTTGTTTTCACTGTCACCTGGGATTTCTTTGCCTTGGTCGAATGTATTGAAAGATTATATCCTTTATTGAAAGATGTCTCAGTTTACCCCCTTAGTGTTTCACTTGATCAGGTTGAATCTAAAATGCATTTTGTTTTATAATTTTAAACTAATTATAAACATAATATGTGCTCATTTTAGAAAATTTAGGAGGTGGTGGGGTGCGATGGCTCACACCTGTAGTCCCAGCACTTTGGGAGGCCAAGGTGGGTGGATCACCTGAGGTCAAGAATTTGAGACCAGCCTGACCAACATGGTGAGACACTGTCTCTACTA